TACACACACATACACATACACAGACACAGACACAGGCACAGACACAGACATATATATATATTTATATATATATATATATATATATACATATATACATATATACACATATATATGTCTATTCGTATTTCCAGAGGTCAAACTATTCATATGAATAGTCAAGTTCATTCGTAAAATTTTGCAGGAGGTACACGTATACGAGTAAAGATGTGTCAGGTCTATAGAGTATGTGCACGGTAATAACAAAGAATGTCTTAAATTCTCCAGTCGACACTCACCAAATGCATCCCCCCCATATAAAGAATATAATTCTAGACTCCTAAAGTTCTAGTACAGATACACACGTGCTTGTAACTGTGACCTACCACATGGACGTATCCACAGTGGTCAAGGCATCCGCCACAAAGGACTGTTTCTTCCCCGACGCCCGGGCTGACGACCGTGTGGCTGCCGCTCCAGTCGTAGTCTCACTATGCATCTCAGCCCTTGCTGAAGGGGTGCTCCTACCACCACTACCTGTATTTGGTATACTCTCCCGAGATGCATTGTTCGTAGGTACATCGCCAGTGTCCCCAGGGGGTTTGGTGCCGTTTGTGTGGGTGGGTAGGTGTGGGTGTGGGTCCGAGTGTGTGCTAGGGCTGACTGTCGGCCCTATCTTCCGATCAACCAACGCGTCTCTCTCTGAAGTCGATGAGACCTCCTCACCCCCCCGTGAATTCTCTGATGTATCCCTATCCAATCCACCCAGCTTCTGACCACTTACGCGTGGGTCGTGCTTGTGTAGCGAGTGTTGGTCACAAGTCTTATCAGGTTCGGTTAGCACACCGTGGTCTAGATACAACTGATCGTTCTCGTGTAATTCGCTGATGTGGTCGTGTATTCGTATCATGGCTTTCAAAGCTTTCCACCTGTCTGTGTGCGAATGGAGCCTCGCATCGGCTTGCGCCTGCTGTACAGTTGAGCGTCGCATATGAGTATTGATGGCCCCCAAAAGGTACTTTGTGCAATTTGCTTGAGAGAGAATGTTGCGACGGATGGATATTGGTATATATA